GAGGACGACTCGAGATGAGAAGCTGGCACTGTCGTGGTGCACGAGGGGGCTGCCGCCGATAGAATTTTACTACAAACTACGACGCGGCCCTACCGGCAAGTCCTGCGGCTCTGGGGCGCTGGCCCTGCGCCGGCGGCTCGGACGGAACGCAGCGAGAGGGAGGAAAGGAGGGACGAGCAAACGAAGACGAACGCGCAGGCGGGAGGCCAGGGCCGGCGGGACGAGGCAGGCAGGCAGGCGGGCAGGGGCGGAGACGGGACAGCGAGCAGACAATTAATCGTCGACTCCCAGGAAAATATGGAAAATATGGGAAGAGGGGGAGGGAAGACGACAATCTAGAAAATACAGGAAAACATGGGGAACCCTGGGAATTGTGTCTATCCATTTGTGTGTCCCTGGGCCCCTTTGATCACGCATTGAGAAAGCAAGACGTCGGATGTCTGGGGCTCTGGCCCATGCGCGCCACAGCCGTACAGTGGGAGCTCGACCGCACGATACCCTCCGCCAGAAACCCAACCCCGAGTCCCCAGGACGTCCACTGCTTCTCGGTGCGGGGGCGTCACGCCTTCCATGGCAGGACCGTGGAAACCCAAGAGACCCAGGGCACCCATGGAGGCAAGCAGTCAGGGTGCTCTCTGGGCATGACGGGCCCACCGTGTGGTCCCGACGGGCTCCGAGATGAGTGGGATTCGGGGCACCTGTGGCCGCTCGTGGCCCCCACGTGCGGGGAGAGCACTCGGAGCTCGATGGTGGGGGGCTCTCAGGTGGTGAGCTTTTTTTTTATTCGACGTTTCGACATTGGGCGGAAAGGGGGGGGGAGTCTGGCTCCGGACCTCTGCTTAGTGCGACTGTTCGCAAGAGTGCTGCCTCTGGGGGAGACTCCACCCGCTCGAAACAGGCGCCAAGAAACAGCCAAGATCTACTCCATTGGGGGGGGGGGAAGGGGGGGTGCGAGGGCCCGCGCCGATCGGCAAGACAATGAAAACACAAAACGCTCACGTGGCCCGCGTGGCTCTTCGTGCACCTCGCGTCGTGGTGCTCGGCTGCGTGTGTCAGTGCACCCGGCAGCTCGTGGCCCTTCGCAGCCCACTGCGCTCTCGCTCCCCGGCCCTCTTCGCACGCACTGCCTCGTGCGCTGCTCGGGCCGTCCGCGCACAGGGTGGCGGCCCGTGAAGCCGTGGCTGCCTCGCTCGCAGGCCGCACCTGCCACTTTCGGGCAGGTCGCTCGTGCCCGCTGGCGCCGGTTGTTGCCCCTCACGCCCTCCCCCGGACGCTGCCCGCTTGCGCATGTCTGGCGGCTCCCCTGCCTGCATCTTGCACCGGTGCCCTCCTGGCAGGGTCGGGTGGTCGCAGCGGTTCCGCACCCCGCAGCGCTGCGGCGTTGTTCACACCCCGCATCGCGGCAGCTCGCCCGTGGATCTCGGGTGCCCTGGGCTCCCGCCTGGTGGTCTGTGCCACTTGGCCAGGGCGGACGAAGAGGGGGGACTTGCCGTCGCTTGCGTGTCTTTTCGCGAGATGATCTAAGATGCTCCTCGATGGGCCTCGCAGAGAGTAAATGCACATGTCCGAGCGATGCCGAGGGGACGGCAAAGGGCGGGTTAGCGAATCAAACACATGCGCAGCTGCCTGTCCTGGCGCATCCCGGCGCAGCGGGGAGCGACCCCATGTGCCGAGGAACGCGCTGGGCGACAGGCCCGACACCACCCTCACGCAGCATCTACCGTAATCCCACCTTCCCCGATCCCGCCACTTTCGTCCGACCCCCGACTGGCCTGTACAGTCATCGTGCTAAGGTCGGGTCGGGCATGTCCTCCTGCAGGCGGACTGTGAGAGAGAAGTGCGACCTGGTCAGACCATACTCCTTGCCCGATCCTGAGAGCACGACAAAACGTCCCCAGACTGCTGTCGGACCACTCTTCGGCGCTGGACAAACCTCCCTTTCGTAAACCTCCTCTTAGTGACAAACAACGGCCTGGGGCCGAAACCGACGGACCTGGACCCGCAAAGACGACGGCCGCGACGCCCTCCCGCGCACCGAACACGGCCAACTCGCTCATCGCGACCCGCAAACGGCCGACTCGCGAACCGACGCGTCAGGGCAGGAGGCCCAGCCACCTCCGAACGACTCGGAGAGCACGACAGGACGTCGCCAGACGGCCGTCGGACCACTCCTGGCATGGTCCTCCCGCAGAGGGGTCGGAGGCCTGGAAATTGGCACCAACATCAAGACAGGGGGTTGCCTCCACAGGGGGAAGGTGATCCCAGATGTTCGGTGCTGGTGGTAGTAGTTCGGCCACCTCGGAAGCCAGAAGATTACCACCATCACCGAGATCGGGATCTTTCTTCCCTCGGTGGAGGAACAGCGCCGATATTGGTGTTGGTTGGGCGCCCGAGTTATCCGGGGTAACTCGGGTCCGGGGTAAGTCGGGTTTGGATTCCCGAAAAACGAACCCGAGTTAGCCCTGACCCGAGTTACCCCTGATGATTCGGGGCTCTGGACGCCCGAGTTATCCGGGGTAACTCGGGTCCAGGGTAACTCGGGCTTGGATTCCCGAAAAAGGGAACCCGAGTTAGCCCTGGCCCGAGTTACCCCTGATGATTCGGGGCTCTGGACGCTCGAGTTATCCGGGGCAACTCGGGTCCGGGGTAACTCGGGCTTGGATTCCCGAAAAAAGGAACCCGAGCTAGCCCTGACCCGAGTTACCCCGGATGACTCGGGGCTCTGAGGAGGAGGAGGAGGAGGAGGAGGAGGAGGAGGAGGAGAAGGAGGAGGAGGAGGAGGGGGAGGAGGAGGGGGGGGGGGGAGGGGAGGAGGGGGAGTCTGAGTGGTGTCAATCTCCAGGCCTGCGACGGGGCGCCGCCCGCCGGAGCGCCGCCTCGCTGCAGCGCCGCCGCGCTGCAGCGCGGCGGGGGCCCTCCTCCGGCCACGGCGGGCCTCCTCCGCTCCGCCGCGGGGGGGGGGCGCCCCCCCGAGCCCGGACGTCCGGGGAGGCCCGAGGAGCGCGGCCCCCCCGAGCCCCGGGAGGGGGGAGGAGGAGGATGAGGAGGGGAGGGGGAGGAGGAGGAGGATTGAGGAGGAGGAGGAGGAGGAGGAGGAGGAGGAGGAGGAGGAGAAGGAGGAGGATTGAGGAGGAGGAGGAGGAGGAGCAGGAGGAGGAGGAGGAGGAGGAGGAGGAGGAGCAAGAGGAGGAGGAGGAGGAGGAGCAGGGAGGGCCCACTCGCCATCGCTCGGACGTCCCAGCTCGGGCGCGCGTCCGACCCGCATACGTGCGGTGTGCCCCTCTCTTGGAGTGCACCGTCTCCCGAGCGGCGTGGCCGGAAGGCGCCCGCCACGACGCGTGCACCAGAAGCTGCCTCGGGGCGCGCGTCGCCCCCCGGGGGCGCGTGGCGCAGATGGCATGAGCATGTTGGGGTGGCGCCGAGGGAGGGCCCAGGATCGATGGTGGGCCCGTCTTCCACCGCCACCGCCACGGCGCAGGAGAGGGAGGAGGAGGTAAGACAAGATCAGACCGATCGCGAAGCGACTTCAGGATCAATCGGGGGGATCCAGCCGCCTTCCCAGCCTTGCTGAGAGCGTTGGGCACGAGACCTCTGGAGATTCGGTCGAGATACTCTCGCCGATTCTTGGTGGTGATTGGGGCTCTGGGTGGGGCCTCGCACTCGTCGGCCAGACCTCGGAGCTGCTGCTGATCTCCCCCGTCCTGCATGTGGCAGGGGTGGTGGAGCACTTGCCCATCGGTCGAGCCGACAGGTCGGATAGGCGACCGAAGCGAATCGCGTCGGCGGACATCAGCAGCCGAGGCGGGCGAAGCCGCATCGGCGGGAATCGGCAGGCCAGTGAGGCCCTCGCGGAGAGCTCGGAGTACAGCTCGGGTTCCGAAATCGCAGTGGATCGGAGGCCAGCAGCAGCGATCCGAATCGGATCGGAGGAGTCGAGAGGAGCACTGCTGCCAAGCACGGTGCACGCATTTGGAGACTTCGCACGGAGCCGCCACCATGGCAGCACTCGCTGTACCAGAGACGGGCTGTGCCGTGCGGCATGGCGCTTTCCCTCATCAGCCTGCCACTTTGGGCAGCTCAAGGGCGCCTGAGATGGCATCGCAGAAATATAATCCGCCGACCCCGCCGGCGCGTGTGAGGGCGAATCCGAGGGTGGTCGTTCTGGGGTGGCCCTGGGAGACGCTTTGCACTCGAAGCTCTCCTCCCATTCTCTGTGGCCACATGGGGCACTTCAAGGTCGCCGACCCGAAGCGAATCGACCCAGGTCGTAACCGAGTCGAAATCGACCCAGGTCGTAACCGAGTCGAAGGGAAGCACAGAGAATAGGCTAGCAAGCTACCTAAACACTACATTCCTTAACATAAACTTCAGACATTCCTTTTAGCTATCGTTTGCTACCCGTCCAGGCCATGCTGGTCGCCGTCATCCCTTGCGTACAAAGGGTCTTTGGTTGCACTGGGTTCCTGCCCGAGACACCGTTCAACAACATACCGCGGAGGACCAGTGGAGAGTGGGCAGGAAGATCCTTGCCCGAAACGCCCGTTGCCACCTGTGTGTGAGAGCCAACGATAGGAGGGGCACCAACTCAGGGAGGGGGAGAGCCATCGAGTTGGAATCAAGGATCAATCGCCGATGGATCGGCGATAGGCCCCCGACAGCGAATCCGCATGTTCCTGGGCGCGGCGGGCTATCCAGCCCCTACCGGCGATGGATGGGCGATTGGGGCCTCGATGCATCGCCACCTGAGACAATCCCTCCCTGGCGTTGCCCCTGACCCTCTGCTCCCTGGCACTCGACCCCCATGCTCGGTCGGGCCTTCAGCGGCCAGTCGGGACGATCCAGGCACCCGCAGGACGCCCTCGACGAGGCGCATCTGGTGGCAACACACCGAGGCTGGAAAACCGCCGAGAATTCGCGAAAACATCCGAAAACCTCGATCCTCGCAGCTCAAAGCCGAAGCTTCTCCTCCTGATGATCGTTGCCCGTGCGTCTGAAGCGTCCTGCAATAATCAATCGTCTTCCGGCGGAACAGCAGCGGGTTGACCTCGAACTGGTTCAGAGCCGGCCGGTCGGCCTGGCGCGGCTGGCGCGGTGCTCAAAGGCACGGCGCGCACGTCGTCAGTGGCAATGCAGGCAGAGGCGGAGTGGTGTGTCACCGTATCGAACGAGATGCGCACTGGACCACAGGAGTCTCTAAAACGTGCACAGCCACAGCAGTGCCCCGCATCAGGCGCACGTGCTGCGCAATCCCTGCTGTCTTCCTCTGTGGGGGGGGGGGACGGCCAATGGCGTTTGGATCCCGATCCACCCGAAAAAACATCACTCTCGCCCTGATTCCTCTAAGTGCCCTGACGCTTGCAGTGCACGTTCAAGGCTTAGCTGCCCATCGCTTTCCGTGCTGTGCGACTGCCTGATTAGCTTGACTTCTGCTCATCAGCTAGGTGCCTTTAGCTTAGGCTTGCGCGCATGCTGGAGCGATCGCGGACGCGCTCGGGGGCTCTGAATGTGTCCGCGGGTCCCGACATTCTGCCCCCACGCGTTCGGACTCTTTCCTTCGGGCTCTTCGAACATCTTCGGAGCTGTCAGGGGACGGCTTCGGACACTTGGACCTGACTTCGGAGCCAGCATGTACACGCACACACACCTCTCTATACACAGACGAGAACTTATTCAGATACAAAGATATACTTGTGTGTATATATATATATATATATAGATATACACACACACACTGAGCCGCTAGAAGCGAAACATTCTCAGGGCCCAACGCCGAGCTTTGCTTTGGGGCATAAGAACGGATGTGGCTGCTTAGGCAAACTTTACTCTTCCACTCCTCATCCCAATCCTCCTCGGAATTATCTCACTCAACGCGCTCTGATGTTGCCCCTGCTGCTGCTCCGCGTCCTCCTCCAAATCCTGCGCAGCAGGCGTACAGACCCTGGAAAACCAGAGAAACGAGCTGGATCTGCTAGATCACCAGACTACACAGACCAAGTACAATAACCAATCGACCATCAACGAAAACCGATCAACCAACCAGGCCTGTCGGACCAACCTGACCAGTCCGGACCCGCCACATATGTTTTCTCTTGGAAGCTTTGGTGGCCTCTTGGGCCCCCTTCGGCAGCGTGTGGGGGCCCTTGTGGGATGCGTTGAGAATTGTTGTGGCGGTCTCGAGAAATCTCCGTGAGCGAAATGCCGCCGCATCTCGCTCGTGGACACCTTTGGGGCATCCTGGAAAACCTTTGTGGGCCTCTTCGGGCCTTTTGTAGACCAATCGAACTCTCCTGACAGTTCTCTGAAGGGCTACTGTACGTCTCTGGGAGGCTCTAGGGCCATCTTTTAGGGCCCCAAAAAATCGCGAGCGAGATGCCACGGCATCTCGTTCGGGAACGCTTTGGGGTTTTTGCTGGAAAACTCTGGGGGCGCCTCTTGGGGGATCGTGGTGGTTGACACTGTGCTCTTCGCACCTCTCTGACCTCCCCAATCCATATTCGGCTCGCACGCGAAATCCCAATTCTAGAAGCGAAACTACAATGCCCAAACATATAAAATGCAGAAAAACGCGATACTGAAGAACTGCGATTCAAATCTAACTGTTTCTGTGTCGCTGTCCGCCGTCATTTGTTCTCGGTGCACGGGCTCCTGCGCTTGGGTGGCGAGGATAAGAAACCGACACTTCATGCGTGCGGTATGCGCCGGCTCACGTCCGTATGGATGCAAGTCTTGTCTTGGGAAACCATGGTTTGCCACGGCAGGCCCGGCGCCACGGTCCCTCGAATTCCTTATGCGCCTAAATACCTTGAAGGAACAGCTCCAGAGCCCTCTCACGGGGCGCGCTCTGACAAGGAGTGCCCAGGCGACTCCAGGCGTGACGACGAAGGACGGTGGTGGCAGAATGCCAACGACAGGGCCCGGGTCAGAGGGGGGGAACTCTGCCTGCAACCGGCGACACGTCGCCGTAAAACAGGGCTAGGATCGGGATAAATCGCTCCAGAGCGTTCCGGAGCGCTCTCAGAGCGTTCCGGAACGCCCTGAAGCGGCCGCGGCGCCCAATACATCCTCCAAACCCGCCGATTCTCAGAGATTTCGAGTTATCCCGATCCGATTTTGTCCCGATCTTCGCGTCGTTTTACGCCGATGAAATCGGCGGGGGGCCCCCGACGGCGAGACCGGACGGTCCTGGGCGGGGAGGGCGGTCGTGCCCCCGCAGTCAACGGCACGTGGGCGAGCGGGGGCCGACGCGCCGCCCCCCGAGCCTGTCCACGCCGAGCGCTGCCCCCGGGCAGCGGTGCTGGTACCTCTTTTTTCTCTCGGGAGGGGAAAAACACACACAGACACAAGTAGTCGTCGATCCCCAAGAAAGTATGGGAGCATATGGGAAGTGGGCGGGAAGACAAGACAAAACCCAGAGACTATGGGAGAACATGGGGAATCATGTTATTTGGGTGCATTTGTTTGTGTGTCCTGGGGCCCCTTCATTTTCTCCCGTGGCACTTGGGGAGGCCCGAGCCTGGGATGCAGCTGTGGCTGGACCAGCAAAGAGACGAGACCACCCCACATGCGGCCCCGCGATGCCGGAACTGTGAGCGCTCGCCCCGTGCCGTCTCGGCGTGTCGTCACGAGGGCCGCGCGGTGGCGTCGGGCCGCCGCCGCGCAACGCGGGCGTCGAACATCGCGCAAACAGCGCTCGCAGCAGCAGCGCCGTCGATGTCGCGCACTGGCCGCGCGAGGTTCCCATTCGCACCGTATAAACCGCTTGCCTCGCGCAGCACCTAAAGTCGCTGCTCGGCGGCGCGCAATGTCCACTCGTCGTCTTGCTCAACGCAGCGATGTACGCAACATCTAAGCCGATGGCGTATTTCAGAACTGCGTCGCTGCACCCCGTCGAAATGCTTTGCGTCGTGCTTGCGGCACCCTCCGCGGGAAACCGCGATTTTGCCAGGCCGCCCCCAGCGACACGAGGCCGAAGGTGAAGGCGGAGGGACGTGTATCCTCAAAGTTCTGACCCAACAGCGCATGACAATGGCACAGCTTCTGATCGGCACATTCTCATCCGACGTTGACCTGCGCTGGATCGTCGAGCAGTTTGCGTGGCAGATAGGTAGGGAGCCCTGTTTGACCAGGCGGTCGTGGCGTCCATGGGGGCATTCGAGAGAAAACGCTGTCCCGTTGCATCCGGCGGCGACCTTGACCGCGACGGCGGCAAGCGAGGCCGGCACATGCCACGGGAGGCCGTGATTCGTCCTCGCGGAGGCGGAGGAGGAGGAGGAGGAGGAGGAGGAGGAGGAGGAGGAGGAGGAGGAGGAGGAGGAGGAGAGGTTCTCTGCGGCGGGCGACCTGGGTGGGCGCCCCCTTCGTCTGGGTCGCCGCGGGCGGCGCGGGCGCGGGCTGGAGGGCGCTCCGGTGCACACCTGCACTCGACACCAGCACTTCCGGCGAGGCGGCGGCATGCTGGGCGCCCCCGCTGGACCCCGCGGGGTGGCAGCACGGCCGCCCCGCCCGGCCTGCCTCTTTGCATGGTAAACGCTGCGCCCCCCTACGGGACGCAACGCACAGTCGGGGATTTGACCTCAGGAACCCCAAATAAGGAACGAGGCCCCTTTTTTCCACAGGTTAAACTTCGATCTCCCATCGAAAACATAAACAAAAACCTGAGGAAAGCTGTGAAACAATGAAGGAACACCGAGCCCCTCCCCAACGAACAGGATTCCTTCTTCAGCGCCCCGACTGTATACCATAGCCTTCTGTGGTGTACGCTACACATCGATGTTATGGGCGGCTTGCGCAAATACCGGGCACCCTCTCTGGGGCCTGGCGAGCTTCCAGAAGCGGAGGTACGGCGGCCTGCGAAGGCCCGCGCGAGGCCGGCGCGGGCTGCCATGGCTTCTCCAGTCGGCCACCCCGCAGGCTGTCGGAGAAGGAAGGAGGAAGGGGGAGGAGAAGGAGGAGGAGGAGGAGGAGGAGGAGGGCGAGGTGGAGGAGGAGCAGGAGGAGGAGGAGGAAAAGGAGGAGGAGGAGGAGGAGGAGGAGGAGGAGGGGAAAGGAGGAAGGAGGAGGATGAGAAGGAGGAGGAGGAGGAGGGAGGGAGGGAGGGAGGAGGAAGGGGGAGGGAGGAGGAGGGAGGAGGGAGGAAGAGGGGGACGAAGATGGGGGAAGGGGAGGAGCGGGAGGGGTGCGGAGGGGGAGGATGCGAGAGGGATGAGGAGGAGGAGGAGGAGAGGAGGAGGAGGAGGAGGAGAAGAGGAGGAGGAGATGGAGGAGGAGGAGGAGGGAGCAGGGAGTAAAGGGGGGGAGGCAGGAGGGAGGACGAGGGACGAGGAGGGAGGACGAGGGAAGAGGAGGGAGGACGAGGGAAGAGGAGGACGAGCGAAGAGGAGGAGTGGGAACGGTAAAGGAGGGAGGAGGGAAAACGGATGAGGAGGGAAGAGGAGGAGGAGGAGGAGGAGGAGGAGGAGGAGGGAGGAAGGCCGAATGAAGAAGAAGAAGAAGAAGCGGGGGGGGGAGGGGGGAGGCGGATGGGGGAGGAGGGAGGGCGAAGGCGGAGAAACCAAACCAGCAAAAACAATCAAAGGGGTGAGGGAAAAGGAGGGGGAGGGGGGAGGAGGAGAGATGAGGAGGTAGGAGGGACCGACGGGGGATGGAAGGGGGGAGGAGGCGGGAAGAGGACGGAGGAAAAGGGAGGATCACATACAAATGGGAAAGGGAGGAGCAGGGAGGAAAGGGAGGGGTGAGGGGGGAGGAGGGAGGGGGACGGGAAGCGGGGGTGAAAAGGGAAGACGAGGAGGGACGAGGCAGGAGGGAGGAGGGAGGATGTGACGGGGCGAACAAGCACAAGAGCCGAACCACGTGGACAGCGAAGCGGCCCCAACTATCGCATCGGGGTCGTGGGGAACGACGACCGCCGAGACACCAACAGAAAAAGAAACAACGGCATAATGACTGATAAACGTTTGACGCTCCCCCCGGAATTCTAGGACCTGAGCTGGATCCCCCTCCC